CTCTCTAAAATATTTTGTTTTGTTAATTTATTCGTATTATAAAATTATCAAAAATATAATTAAATCTCATTTTCCGATGTTCCCAATAAACATTAAAATGAGTTATATTTATAAATAGCATTAGTACTATCAAATGATTTGTTACAGTTTGCAATGGTTAAAAAAGTTTGCTAAATATAAATACGTTATAGCGTTATATTAATTCTCTCTCTTTCTCTCTCAAGTTTGACTCAGAGTTTGCGGTAAATAATATCACCCCGATAATATTATAAACTTACTTGTCCCAACGAAACATATCGACCACTTTGTAATTTAAGCAAATCCTTGCGCCTATCAATAATTCCAATAGTACCATCGGGAAATATCTCGCCGATATCGCCCGTGTAAAACCAACGGCAGCCCCTGTCGTCTGTCCGAAACGCCTCCCGAGTCTGTTCCGGCAGTTTATAGTATTCGGTGACCACTGAATTGCCGCCAATCACTATCTCGCCCCTGGGGTTCGGCCGATCCGAGCGGTAATAGCCGCCCTGATTTAAGCCGGGTACAATTATAAAGAAGTTACAATAATTTAAACACTAGTTTCATGTGTCTATTTCTACACACAGACCTCCTCCCAATCGATGAGTTTGATTCGCATGCCCTGCAGGGGTGCGCCCACCCGGCTGATAGATAAATCGTCATGGTCCATCGCTGTCAATAAATGAAAATAAAATTTATAGCCCAGGTAATATGTAATTTATATATAAATAAATATAACGTACCAAACACACAGCCCGTTGTCTCGGTTGTTCCGTATACTATTTTTAAAAAGATATCATGTTTAAAAAATATTGGTTAATTAATATTACAAGTTATATATAAAGTAACAAATCTTAATCATAACATATAGGATAAATTTACCCTGCAGCAGCGCAATATCCAGCGCAGCCCTAAGCGTGGCCTGAGTGGTGGGGCTCAGGGGTGCGGCGCCCACAATAGCCACCCGTAGCGCACCGCCCATTTGTTGGCGCAATTTGTCGCAAACTAGTTTGTCGACAATCGGGCACCGGTAGCCCCGGTCGGTCCAATACGACTTGTATGCCATTAAATGGGTAAACATGGGTACGGCTAATGGGGACCGGGTTGTGAGCCGAGCGCCCATATCCTTAAGTATGCGGTCGAGCATTAGGGGAACGCATATCATAACCGTTGGCCGCAATAGCGATACGTCGGACCGCATGCCCGGTGCCAGACCGGCGCCCGACTCGGTCAGCGTGGATGTAGTGGCGTAGCCTATTTTTACGCCAACTGGTCCGCATAGATGAATAGTAGTTCAGACGGAGCCACTCTATTATATTGATTTAGTACATTAATATGTTTTACTATGTAGTTTTATATAATGACATATTTCATATTATTGTAATTTAATATAATATAATTATTAATTCGTATATGAAGTTAACTTATAATTTGTATATAAATTAACTTTATATATATATACTGCATAAACCTCTGCCAACAAAATGATTATTTAATTGTAAAATATTATATATGATTTATTGTTACGATTCAGCAGTTAACAGAGTACCTAGGCACTTGTTCCCGTGACTCCTTGCCGATATAACTGGCTCTGTAAAATATAACTTTAAAATACAGATTAATAAAATATTTAAATTTATTATAGAAATAAACATTATATTTTATTAAAAATTCAAATGAATTATATTAAACAGTATGCATACTAACAACATTAACAATAGTTAACATTTAATTAATATTAAATTTATTTATAAATTAAAATAAATAAAAGTTTCATGCAACTATCTCTATGCTATCAACAATTCATTCTTACCCTAATTCATAAAGTTTTATACATGTTTTACAATAAATACTAATTGTAACTTGATCATTTACAGGTGTACTGTGTATACATAATGAGTGAGAGTGAGTGCGAGAAACAGGTATTCAAAACTACCACTGTATAAGTATAATGCATACAAACATAATACGTTTAAGCTATTAAACACAATAAAAAATTAATTGCAATATTAAAATAAATAAAAATATTGATCAGCATAATTAATCATTACGATAAGTTACAGCAATTGGAAAATAACAAACAGCCTTGATTATAAAACTGCATTAATTTGTTATAAAGCAACGAAAATAATAATTTTAATAATTGTAAAAATATCACAAAATCTAAATAACACAAAAATTATGTGTGTAAAAATTATAAATAATAAAAAATATAATAATAAAATGAAAACACAATTTAATTACCAAAATACCAAACGATGAGATAAACGCCAGAAAATTCATAAACAGTATTGACTTAAACTGCGCGACAGTTACCGACAGATACAGACCATATATAGCCGACAAATGTATCATGGTCATCCATATGAGCTGGTAATACCTGATGGTTGGTTTATATGGCACGTGTGTGACTACCGGTGCGCTGCCAGTATTGGCTGACCCGTTGCCCACTACTTCATTAACCATTGAACTTACGGTTTATTTTAACAGTATTATTATAGTATAATAACTTTTTTGTGAGTAACTTAAATACAATTATTTGTATAAGATTTATAAATACAGGTATTTGCACATGTAACTTAACTGCACATTGATTTTGCAATGATAGTTGAAATTTTATATTTTAAATGAATAAAAATTTGATATTGCCGGAATTTTGTATTTTTATTACAATGTTATATTATTAATGTGTTAATACTTACGATATAGCAATAGAAATACAAA